ACTCTGATTTTTCACTACACCCGCTCTCTGGAATACCCCTCAGGAAGCTGCAGAACAAACTTGTCAACAGATGTTTTTCCTTTTTAAATGAATCACATTAAAAGTGTTTTCTGATCTGAAACACTTCATATTTTTAGATGTTTCATTTGATTCAGTCCTAAATGTGTTAAAACATCTGAACGATAGTTTTAAGTGTTTTTAATCAGCAGCTGAAAAAGTTTAATTCATCATGTCTGTGAACACATGAAGGATCTGACTCAGAGTTGAGGTTTGTTTTTTAAGGTTTTAAGGAGAAATTGATTTAAGGTGTTATTGAAACATCTGCTGTGTTCACCTGCTGGACTCTGACTGTTTATCAGAGCTTTTATTCTGAAAGGACACAGAAAATGAGCTGCAGAACAAACAGAGACTAAAGGCTATCACTAAAAACTGTTGCTCACCAGTGGCCCCACTCACTCCTAACGACCGTCGTTCACTAGTGTGACTCACCTGACCCAAACAATGGTCCAGTGAAACTCCACTAACGAAGTATTGTCTTATGAGGGTGGTGGGTGTACACCTCCACAGAGGTTAAAAACCTGAGTCTTACTCCACTGTTTGTCAGACTAGTGAGGACTAGTCAGACCGATGCGTTGAGAACTGATGAAGCCGCCTGGATAAGAGGCGAAACGTCTCCTAGACAAAATCAAAGTCCAGTTGCCTACGATTTAATTGTTGCCAGAATGGAATTGACCTGGATAAATGAGAATATCCACAGACTTATCACTAAAAACTTTTGACGAGTGATCGGTTGCTCTGAGTCTTTGTTTTATTCTGAAGGTTTAACGTGACGACTTCCTGTTTAGATTTTTAACTTTGCTGTGGCAGAAAACATAAAAACATAAAATCATCATGTTCGGTTTCTGATCGATCAATAATTCATTCATTCATTCATTAATCATTTTATGTTTACATTCAGGAAAATTTCATGTGATCACAACTTTAATACATTTAAAACTTTATTATAACATTTAAAATACCCCTTAATTTTTAACTTAATGTTTTAGATAATAGATGTTTCTGTGATTCTGTTTAAATACTTCTGAAATAAACTTGTTGTCAGTGTCATCACATCTTTACCTTACATCAGGTTACCAAACATTTGTTGTTTCTGCAGCAGGAAGTCGAGACATGTTCGTGATGACATCACTACGGCACGATGCGTATGGTGTAAAAACACGTGACTCATTAAAATGTTCACGTCACAACCTAACTAAAGTCCACATTTTTATCACTGACGGGTTAATTAATATTTAATGTTTCTACATTTAAGATGTTTTTATTTGATAAAATCTGATTTTAAAAAAAAACATCAGATTTTTTAATGATTTAAAGACAACGTTTGATCAATAACTTTGATCAGTTAGTTATCGATCGACAGAATCTCACAGTTCAGATTTCAGAGACAGGAAACGTTTGAACATTGTCCAGGAAGTGACATCACAGAAAGTAAAAACACCATCACAGGCTCTGGAGGATGTGTTGTTTAGACAGTTATGACCTGGGGTCTGTTTCACAAAGCAGGTTCAACAGACTCTGAGCCTAACCCTGAACTCTGAGTTGAGTTACTCTGAGATGGGAAACTCTAGGTTACAGGTTTCAGAACAGGTGATTTCAATCGGTTCAATCAACACAGAGTTTGTTCACTCTGAGTTAAGCACGTGCACCACGACTTTAAAAAGCCGTCATCAACGGAGCCCCGATACCACGATTCACCATGGCAACAAGCGTCAAGAAAAGGTCTGCATTTTTTACTCCACTGGAGTTGGATATTTTAATGCGCTCATACAATGAATTTGAAGCTGTTTTCAGGAAGAAGAGTAACACGGCTGCAGCAGCGAAGGAACGGGAGTCGGCGTGGGAGAAAATTACTGCTCGAGTCAATGCAAAAGTTTAAATGTATTTTATACATTTATGCACTCACAATAATGTTAGGCTGCAGATGTAAACAGGTGGAATGGTGTTAATCCCACCTCATTATTTTTCAAGTGAAAATTGTCTAAAAACAAGTTAGTTTTAGGTGTGATTTGTTTTGACTAGAAATAAGACACATATTCTTGGTATGATTTTGAGTTCTTGCAGTGCGATGCAGTCTGACATTTTGAGACAGTCACTCTACCTGCACATTAATGCTGTGAATGGACTTCATATTCACATAGTCTCCTTCATTTTGTGAAGGAGCAATGATGGGAATGTGGGTTCCATCAGTACACCCTATCACACCGGGAAATCCTAAAAGAAATTAAAATGACTAATCCCAGTCTGAGGTTGCAGCACCATGTCATTCACTGAATATGATTTATAATCATACATTTGAACTGATTTCTACATCATTCACCTGCAATCCTGTGGAGCTCCTCCTTGATGACCCTCACAGGTTTATGTCCAGGAAACACAACAAAAGAGTTAAATAGACGTTTCAGAGCCAGGGACACTTTTCTCACGGCTCTGCAGACAGTGGCCGCACTGATATATTCTGCATCTCCGATATTATACAGAAAACTAGAGCAACACAAAGAATCAGGGTAGATGAAAGTGCACGTCCACGGTTGGTGACGTTGGTTATGTCACGACGGATGAGGTTATGGATATAAATGATGGACTGTGATGTGAAACGGTACCGTTCAAAAAGAAAATGTTCTGGAAATGATAATACGTAAATACTGGGCCTGTGAATAATCTCCTGACGAATGCGTAACTCCCTCCTCAGTAACACTGCCTCTTCGTCCACAGGGTCCTCCAAGAACGGACATGCCATGGTCGAAAACAGTAGATTTAGAACTAGAACACACTTTAGGATCTGACTTTACCTTGAAGACAGATGATCAAACTCGCTGAAACCCGCGCAACACTAAACGAATGAATGAATGAATCACACTGTGTGTGTGGCGTAAGAGGGAGGAGACAGCTAGAAACTCGAGGTTCATTGAAGAAAACCTGCTCCCGACCAGGTTAGGTTCACAGAGTCAGTTGTCATAGTAACTGACACCGAGCTTCAGTTACCTCTCTTTCTGAAACAGGCTGGAGTTACTCTGCTTTCTCTGGTTTAAGTTACCTCCCTTTCTGAAACGGAAAACCCAGAGTTTCCCTCATTTCAGGATTAACAGATGCAGAGTTTACACTAAACCTGCTTTGTGAAACGGACCCCAGCTTCAATCAAACAAACAAACATTTTGTGTTTGTGTCCGGTTCATGTTTGTTTATCAGAGAGTTCATTTTGGAAATTATCATTGTTGTTGACGTGTTTCTGTGTCGACACGTCTCTGCACCATCAGCTGACTGATCCTCTCACTGATTATTGGTGTCTGTGACGTCTGAAGAACATTAGCATGTAGCCGTTAGCTCAACTGTGAGGGGGTGAAGGGTCAAAGTTCAGGTAACGTCAGATAAGTTCAGTCGATCAAAATCGATCAGTTATTGATCAGAAATGATAAAACTGTTGAGACTTAAAGCGTCCTGATTGGTCCTTTAATCTGTCTCCGAGGACATGGAATCTAAAATGTCTTCATGTAGGGACCAGGTTCATCGCTGCGGGGGGGCGGCATCCTCGTCTCTCCGCCGCTGCCATCCCCCCGAGGCTCGAGTAAAAAAGAAAAAACAGTAGAGGAGTGTCAGTGATCAGACGGCGCCGGGTTCACGTCTCCGTCTGTTTCTGATGGCGGAGAACTGTTCTCCTTCTGCTGCTCCCAACCCAGCGTCTCTCCTCATCTCTGTGCAGCAGCCATTTTGTCTCGTCCTCCTCAGTGCCCCATTGGCTGCTCCTCCTGCTTCCTGATTGGTTAAAAGAAAGTTCAAAGGTAACAGGTGTTCACACTGATGAGGTCATCCCTGCTGACAGGAAGAAAATCACAAATCAAGTGGTCTGAGACAAACAATAGGTTTCTGCACCTCACCATGGCTCTGTGTTCAGCCCCTAAAGAATTAGTATCGTGTCGATGTGCATCAACCAGTCAAAGGTCAGCTCAGACCACTGCGTTCCTATTGGCTGTTCTACTGCATATGCGCATTCCCGTGCCGCCGGCAGAAGGGGAGAGCAAGCGGCAATGGCGAACAGTGCACCAGGTGAAATAACTATAACAGGGAGAGCTGAGGCTCAGGAGTATGTGCGGGGCTGCGAGGGAGGGGCTCAGGGCAGAGACGAACGAAACCTGACGTAGATGAGACTCAAAAATCAATCGTTTTCAGGCTTTCTACCTACTGCAGCTTTAAATATAAACATAAACATTAAAGCGTGACTTCCTGTTTGTGACACGGCGCCCTCCTCTGACTCTGTGACCTCTGACGGCCCACAGATGTGTGTGTCGAGGTGTCTGCGGTGTGTCGCCATCTCCCTGGTTCCCATGGCAATGGTCTGCATTGTGTCCAACATCCTGCTGCTGCTTCCTGATCTGAAGATCCACTTCCTGTTGGAGGGTCATGTGACCAGAGAGGCCACCTGGGCCACGGGGCTGTGGGGCTCCGGCGTCCTGGTGAGTCATGTGACGAGTCATCACACTGCGGTGTGTGTTTGACTCACACTGTGTGTGTGTGTGTGTGTGTGTGTGTGGTCACATGTCCTGAGGTGAAGGCACCACGTACAACATGTCCAACTGTCTGATGATCTGAGACGATGGACACTTTGTCTCATTACACTACAATACACTGTGATTATTGATGACATCATCGCTGACTGTCCTCAGGTTCTGATTGGAGCTCGATCCTTCGTCCAGACAAGCAAAACCAGAGGCTGCTGTGCCGTCAGGAGACAGGTCAGCTGATCAAGGACACCTGTCTGTCCCACTGTCCCCAGATGTTGTCTCAGTTGTCTGTCTCTGTCCCCAGATGTTGTCAAAGGTGTCTGTCTCTCTGTCCTCAGATGTTGTCTCAGGTGTCTGTCTCTCTGTCCCCATTGTCTCAGGTGTCTGTCTCTGTCCCCAGATGTTGTCTCAGGTGTCTGTCTCTCTGTCCCCATATGTTGTCTCAGGTGTCTGTCTCTCTGTCCTCAGATGTTGTCTCAGGTGTCTGTCTCTCTGTCCCCATTGTCTCAGGTGTCTGTCTCTGTCCCCAGATGTTGTCTCAGGTGTCTGTCTCTCTGTCCCCATATGTTGTCTCAGGTGTCTGTCTCTCTGTCCTCAGATGTTGTCTCAGGTGTCTGTCTCTCTGTCCCCAGATGTTGTCTCAGGTGTCTGTCTCTGTCCCCAGATGTTGTCTCAGGTGTCTGTCTCTCTGTCCTCAGATGTTGTCTCAGGTGTCTGTCTCTCTGTCCCCAGATGTTGTCTCAGGTGTCTGTCTCTCTGTCCCCAGATGTTGTCTCAGGTGTCTGTCTCTCTGTCCCCAGATGTTGTCTCAGGTGTCTGTCTCTCTGTCCCCAGATGTTGTCTCAGGTGTCTGTCTCTCTGTCCCCAGATGTTGTCTCAGGTGTCTGTCTCTCTGTCCCCAGATGTTGTCTCAGGTGTCTGTCTCTCTGTCCCCAGATGTTGTCTCAGGTGTCTGTCTCTCTGTCCCCAGATGTTGTCTCAGGTGTCTGTCTCTCTGTCCCCAGATGTTGTCTCAGGTGTCTGTCTCTCTGTCCCCAGATGTTGTCTCAGGTGTCTGTCTCTCTGTCCCCAGATGTTGTTTCAGGTGTCTGTCTCTGTCCCCAGATGTTGTCTCAGGTGTCTGTCTCTCTGTCCCCATATGTTGTATCAGGTGTCTGTCCCTCTGTCCCCATATGTTGTCTCAGGTGTCTGTCTCTCTGTCTCCAGATGTTGTCCCAGGTCCTGTACTCCTGTGTCTGTCTCCTTGCTGCTGGTCTCTGTTGTCTCGTCAGTGCCACCGGTCTGTGCCAGGGTCCTCTGTGTTTGTACAACACTACATCCGGTCCGTCCTGGGGTGTCCCCCTGCAGCCCGTCCCTGACCGGTGAGACACACAGAGACAGATAACAGAGGACATGTTGGATGTCCTCAGAGTCTGACAGGTGTCTCTGTCTCAGTCATGCAGGGTATCTGTACAACAGGACTCTGTGGTCCAGCGTCTGTCTCGAGCCGTTGGGTGTCGTCCAGTGGAACGTCGTCCTCTTCAGCATGATGGGCGGAGTCAGTGGACTGCAGACTGTCCTCTGTGCCGCCAACGTTCTCAACTCTCTGCTGGGACTGATCTTGGGACAGGGCGTCTGCCACAACAAGGTCAGTGAGACATCTCTGCTGTCCTCCTGGAGGACGCTGTCAGAGGACATCTCTGGGACAGGTGTGAGACAGTCTCTGTGTGTGTTTCAGGTCAGTCCGGTGTCAGTCTGACAGGAAGTCCCTGATCGCCCCTGGATGATGTCATCGGCGGAACAGAGACTTGTCTCCATGTGAAGTCAGAACACCTTTTATTTTGGCGGGGTCCGCCCACTGTTTCCTGGTTTTCAGGTGCACTGTTGCACTTTAGATAAAAATATAATAATGTCCGTTATGAATGTGGGCGGGGCTTACAGGTGTCCCCACCCCCTGTTATTGATAACACATAGTCTGTCCAGGACTGAGTCACAGACAGGTGTTTGACAATCATCACTTTGATCTGTGTGAAACTGTGGGGACGGTGTGATGTCACAGGTCAGACGCCATGACGAGACACCAGGTCGTCACTCTGCATCATCAGCAGGTCCTTCCCAGGTCCAGGTCTCAGACAGAGGTACAACATGAGCTGATCAGGACACAGACGCAGCGGACGGCGGGGATGAAATACCAAACACTGACTTCCCTTTGACATCACAAGATGTCCAGCAGAGACCAGAGAGACCAGGTCCACCTGTCCACCAGCCCCCTGTCCCCCTGTCCACTGTCCACCTGTCCACCAGCCCCCTGTCCCCCTGTCCACTGTCCACTGTCACCGGCCCCCTGTCCACTGTCCCCCTGTTCTCCTGTCCACTCTTCACCTGTCCACTGTTCCCCTGTTCTCCTGTCCACTGTCCACCTGTCCTCCTGTCCTCTGTCCACCTGTCCACTGTCCACCTGTCCCCCTGTCCACCTGTCCTCTGCCCACCTGTCCTCTATCCACCTGTCCACCTGTCCCTTGTCCACCTGTCCTATGTCCACCTATCCACTGTCCACCTGTCCCCTGTCCGCCTGTCCACCTGTCCACTGTCCACTGAGGTCTGGACAGAGGTGTTCACCGAAGGGCTGGAGAGTGGCACGACCACAGAGTGACCAAAGAGCGGCACAACCAGAGAGTGACCAGAAAGCGCCACAACCGGAGAGCGCCACAACCGGAGAGCGCCATAACCGGAGAGCACCACAACCGGAGAGCGCCATAACCGGAGAGCGCCATAACCGGAGAGTGCCACGACTGGAGAGCGCCATAACCGGAGAGCACCACAACCGGAGAGCGCCATAACCGGAGAGCACCACAACCGGAGAGCGCCATAACCGGAGAGTGCCACGACTGGAGAGCACCACGCCCGGAGAGCACCATGACCGGAAAGCGCTATGACCGGAGAGTGACCAGAGAGCACCACGACGGGAGAGTGCCACGCCCAGAGAGCACCACGACCGGAGAGCGCCATGACCAGAGAGCGACCAGAAAGCACCATGACCGGAGAGTGCCAAAACCGGAGAGCGCCATGACCGGAGAGCACCACGACCGGAGAGCAACCAGAGAGCACTACGACTGGAGAGCGCCATGACCGGAGAGCAACCAGAGAGCACCACGCCCCGGAGAGCACCACGCCCCGGAGAGCACCACGACCGGAGAGCGCCACGACCAGAGAGTGCCACGACTGGAGAGCGCCAAAACTAGAGAGCGCCACGACCAGATAGCGCCACGACTGGAGAGCGCCAGGACCAGGCCTGGAATTTCATCATTTAAGGGGCAAGGCCACTTGGCCTTTCATTTTGTCAGTTTTTGAGGGCAGCAAGGCCATAAAATAAAACAATGATTTTCAGTCCACATGCATGATGAATTTAATTTCAGGACTAAGGATGTTTAACGATCTGTGAAATGAATAAATGAAACGAGCTCAAGTAATAATGTGATTTATTTAATAACACTAATAAACCCAATGTGTTTTAAATATAGAACAAGCAGGTTTATGTATTTATAAGCAAACAATCTGTTATGAGTGTACATGATAAACTGATTCACTGAACAAGACTGGCTTACACTTATTTCTGTTGTGTTGTTAGATAGCTAACAAACAAACTACAGTAGGACTATTCAATTACTATTTCAACTGGGCCACATTTCAAAACCAGATCATGTCGATGGGTCACATTGTTAGCAGCCAGCATACATATATATACATATATTTATAGAGGCATGGCCCTCCTCAACATGATGCAGAAACAGACTAAAAAGAGCTGTCAGTGCACAGAAGCATGATAAGTGACATTAACAGTATCTAACAACACACACTATCTCTGGGGTGTTGCTAGCGTAGTGGATAGTGCCGGCACCCCATATACAGAGGTGTTGCCTTGCTGCAGTGATCGCAGGTTCGACTCTGGCTTGTGACCTTTTGCTGCATGTCATCCCCCCACTCTCTCTCACTCCCCCATTTCACTCTCTCCTGTAAATTAAAGGCAAAAGCCCCCCCCCCCAAAAAAAACCACACACTATCTCTCTACCACCATCTCTCCTCTCCTCCACACACACACACACACACACACACGGTTCCTCACCACGCCTCGTTTTCAAACTGTATGGTTTGACTAAAATGAACAATGACAGCAATATAGTCCACGATGAGCAGCGCTAAAATCAACATGCTTAGTTGTCCCTCCATTGTGACATCACAGTCATCTGATCAGTCAAACTGTTGCTGACAGAGGTCCTGTCTGACCAACAGGACAAGACATGGACTCTGTTTGGGGACTATTTTCATCAGTGGATTAATACACCTGCAGACAGACATGACACACATGAAAACACACGAGGACACATGAAGAAACATGAGGACACATGAGGTCACATGAGGACACATGAAGACACATGAGGACACACGAGGACACATGAAGAAACATAAGGACACATGAAGACATGTGAAAACACACAAGGACACATGA